TTAATATAAGGGCTGGATTTGAGGGTGATTTACAGCCCGGCAAAATATTTTGAGATATACATTAGGTTGAGTACGTAAATATTATCAGATTTATATAAAAAAAGTTTCATTTTATTCCAATTTAAGAAGGCTAAGATTTTTGAAGTGTTTAATATAAGGGCTAGATTTGAGGGTGATTTCCTGCCCGGCAAAATATTCTGACATATACATCAAATAGAAGACATAAATACACGCTAATTTGTTTATAAAAAAATTAATTTACTTGCATTTTAAGCCAGTAAAGATTTTTTTAATATTTAATATAAGGGGTTGATTTGAGGGTGATTTACAGACCGGCAAAATATTTTGAGATATACATTAGGTTGAGTACGTAAATATTATCAAATTTATATAAAAAAAGTTTCATTTTATTCCAATTGAAAAAGGCTAAGATTTTTGAAGTGTTTAATATAAGGGCTGGAATTGAGGGTGATTTCCTGCCCGGCAAAATATTCTGACACATACATCAAATAGAAGACATAGATACAAGCTAATTTGTTCATAAAAAAATTAATTTACTTGCATTTTAAGCCAGTAAAGATTTTTTTAATATTTAATATAAGGGGTTGATTTGAGGGTGATTTACAGCCCGGCAAAATATTTTGAGATATACATTAGGTTGAGTACGTAAATATTATCAGATTTATATAAAAAAAGTTTCATTTTATTCCAATTTAAGAAGGCTAAGATTTTTGAAGTGTTTAATATAAGGGCTGGATTTGAGGGTGATTTCCTGCCCGGCAAAATATTCTGACATATACATCAAATAGAAGACATAAATACAAGCTAATTTGTTTATAAAAAAATTAATTTACTTGCATTTTAAGCCAGTAAAGATTTTTTTAATATTTAATATAAGGGGTTGATTTGAGGGTGATTTACAGCCCGGCAAAATATTTTGAGATATACATTAGGTTGAGTACGTAAATATTATCAGATTTATATAAAAAAAGTTTCATTTTATTCCAATTTAAGAAGGCTAAGATTTTTGAAGTGTTTAATATAAGGGCTGGATTTGAGGGTGATTTCCTGCCCGACAAAATATTCTGACATATACATCAAATAGAAGACATAAATACAAGCTAATTTGTTTATAAAAAAATTAATTTACTTGCATTTTAAGCCAGTAAAGATTTTTTTAATATTTAATATAAGGGGTTGATTTGAGGGTGATTTACAGCCCGGCAAAATATTTTGAGATATACATTAGGTTGAGTACGTAAATATTATCAGATTTATATCAAAAAAGTTTCATTTTATTCCAATTTAAAAGGCTAAGATTTTTGAAGTGTTTAATATAAGGGCTAGATTTGAGGGTGATTTCCTGCCCGGCAAAATATTATGACATATACATCAAATAGAGGACATAAATACAAGCTAATTTGTTTATAAAAAAATTAATTTACTTGCATTTTAAGCCAGTAAAGATTTTTTTAATATTTAATATAAGGGGTTGATTTGAGGGTGATTTACAGCCCGGTAAAATATTTTGAGATATACATTAGGTTGAGTACGTAAATATTATCAGATTTATATCAAAAAAGTTTCATTTTATTCCAATTTAAGAAGGCTAAGATTTTTGAAGTGTTTAATATAAGGGCTGGATTTGAGGGTGATTTCCTGCCCGGCAAAATATTCTGACATATACATCAAATAGAAGACATAAATACAAGCTAATTTGTTTATAAAAAAATTAATTTACTTGCATTTTAAGCCAGTAAAGATTTTTTTAATATGTAATATAAGGGGTTGATTTGAGGGTGATTTACAGCCCGGCAAAATATTTTGAGATATACATTAGGTTGAGTACGTAAATATTATCAGATTTATATAAAAAAAGTTTCATTTTATTCCAATTTAAAAAGGCTAAGATTTTTGAAGTGTTTAATATAAGGGCTGGATTTGAGGGTGATTTCCTGCCCGGCAAAATATTCTGACACATACATCAAATAGAAGACATAGATACAAGCTAATTTGTTCATAAAAAAATTAATTTACTTGCATTTTAAGCCAGTAAAGATTTTTTTAATATTTAATATAAGGGGTTGATTTGAGGGTGATTTACAGCCCGGCAAAATATTTTGAGATATACATTAGGTTGAGTACGTAAATATTATCAGATTTATATAAAAAAAGTTTCATTTTATTCCAATTTAAGAAGGCTAAGATTTTTGAAGTGTTTAATATAAGGGCTGGATTTGAGGGTGATTTACAGCCCGGCAAAATATTTTGAGATATACATTAGGTTGAGTACGTAAATATTATCAGATTTATATAAAAAAAGTTTCATTTTATTCCAATTTAAGAAGGCTAAGATTTTTGAAGTGTTTAATATAAGGGCTAGATTTGAGGGTGATTTCCTGCCCGGCAAAATATTCTGACATATACATCAAATAGAAGACATAAATACACGCTAATTTGTTTATAAAAAAATTAATTTACTTGCATTTTAAGCCAGTAAAGATTTTTTTAATATTTAATATACGGGGTTGATTTGAGGGTGATTTACAGACCGGCAAAATATTTTGAGATATACATTAGGTTGAGTACGTAAATATTATCAAATTTATATAAAAAAAGTTTCATTTTATTCCAATTGAAAAAGGCTAAGATTTTTGAAGTGTTTAATATAAGGGCTGGAATTGAGGGTGATTTCCTGCCCGGCAAAATATTCTGACACATACATCAAATAGAAGACATAGATACAAGCTAATTTGTTCATAAAAAAATTAATTTACTTGCATTTTAAGCCAGTAAAGATTTTTTTAATATTTAATATAAGGGGTTGATTTGAGGGTGATTTACAGCCCGGCAAAATATTTTGAGATATACATTAGGTTGAGTACGTAAATATTATCAGATTTATATAAAAAAAGTTTCATTTTATTCCAATTTAAGAAGGCTAAGATTTTTGAAGTGTTTAATATAAGGGCTGGATTTGAGGGTGATTTCCTGCCCGGCAAAATATTCTGACATATACATCAAATAGAAGACATAAATACAAGCTAATTTGTTTATAAAAAAATTAATTTACTTGCATTTTAAGCCAGTAAAGATTTTTTTAATATTTAATATAAGGGGTTGATTTGAGGGTGATTTACAGCCCGGCAAAATATTTTGAGATATACATTAGGTTGAGTACGTAAATATTATCAGATTTATATAAAAAAAGTTTCATTTTATTCCAATTTAAGAAGGCTAAGATTTTTGAAGTGTTTAATATAAGGGCTGGATTTGAGGGTGATTTCCTGCCCGACAAAATATTCTGACATATACATCAAATAGAAGACATAAATACAAGCTAATTTGTTTATAAAAAAATTAATTTACTTGCATTTTAAGCCAGTAAAGATTTTTTTAATATTTAATATAAGGGGTTGATTTGAGGGTGATTTACAGCCCGGCAAAATATTTTGAGATATACATTAGGTTGAGTACGTAAATATTATCAGATTTATATCAAAAAAGTTTCATTTTATTCCAATTTAAAAGGCTAAGATTTTTGAAGTGTTTAATATAAGGGCTAGATTTGAGGGTGATTTCCTGCCCGGCAAAATATTATGACATATACATCAAATAGAGGACATAAATACAAGCTAATTTGTTTATAAAAAAATTAATTTACTTGCATTTTAAGCCAGTAAAGATTTTTTTAATATTTAATATAAGGGGTTGATTTGAGGGTGATTTACAGCCCGGTAAAATATTTTGAGATATACATTAGGTTGAGTACGTAAATATTATCAGATTTATATCAAAAAAGTTTCATTTTATTCCAATTTAAGAAGGCTAAGATTTTTGAAGTGTTTAATATAAGGGCTGGATTTGAGGGTGATTTCCTGCCCGGCAAAATATTCTGACATATACATCAAATAGAAGACATAAATACAAGCTAATTTGTTTATAAAAAAATTAATTTACTTGCATTTTAAGCCAGTAAAGATTTTTTTAATATGTAATATAAGGGGTTGATTTGAGGGTGATTTACAGCCCGGCAAAATATTTTGAGATATACATTAGGTTGAGTACGTAAATATTATCAAATTTATATAAAAAAAGTTTCATTCTATTCCAATTTAAGAAGGCTAAGATTTTTGAAGTGTTTAATATAAGGGCTTGGATTTGAGGGTGATTTCCTGCCCGGCAAAATATTCTGACATTTACATCAAATAGAAGACATAAATACAAGCTAATTTGTTTATAAAAAAATTAATTTACTTGCATTTTAAGCCAGTAAAGATTTTTTAAGTTTTTAATATAAAGGCTTTTTTTGAGGGTATATAATTTTTTGTAATTTAGATTCATACGATTTATTACAGTTTGTTTACAATTTTTTAATTCTTCACGGCCCAGCCATGGATTCGCGGCCCAGCCATGGATTCACAGCCCAGCCATGGATTGATTACCGCTGGCGCTTTGGTTCCCGCCGTCAAACTCATGGCTGGAACTCGTGGCTGTTGTCACGCCGGTATCTTTATCTTTATTTACATATTCTTAAAGTACATAAAAAAAATAAGAAACTTTGGATGGTAATATTTTTTTTATTGGACTTTTACTTTTTGAAAATTTTGTTGGGCGAAAAAAAAGTTGGTCATATTATGGTTAGCTATAAAAAACGATTTTAGCCAAAAATTTTTCCCCACAAAACTATAAAACTTTCGTCTGAAATGTTTTTTTTTATAAAAGGTGGTATTTAGCTGTAACACTTTAATTTGAACACCCAGTATAGGGTCATTTAGGGGGGAATGATTTTAAAAATGTATAACATGTTGGTTTGAGTTAGTTTGGAAGCATAGGAGCTGCAAACACAAAAAAAATCAAGCAAAAATAACCTGTTTAGTTTTTTTTGCATATTAAGCGAAATCATAATCTATGAATAGTTCAATTGATAAAATTTTTCTTCTTTACATATTAAGCAAAATGTTTCAATTTTTCTTCTAATAACAACAATTCATTTTTAGACTCCTGGCAAATTGAAAATGACAGATCAACATATAATATTTAAAAATAGTAAGAATGGCAAAGTTCAACAGATTCTTTCATCAGATTTTGATATGGTTAACTTTCAAAACTTTGCTGGCACTTGGGGCATACGTGTCTTTTTAAACAATGGAACTCTGCATAGATTTGTAGGTTTTAAGGAGTCAGAAAAAGAGAAAATTGCAAAATTTTTTAAAAGCTCTTATAAAATTGATATGTTGGACAGAGAATTGAGTATGAAAGGTTGGAATTGGGGAACTGCTAAATTTAATGGTGCTGTACTAAGTTTCGATGTGGGATCCCATAGTGCTTTTGAAATACCTCTTAATCATGTTTCTCAATGTACAGGTGGAAAAAATGAGATTACAATGGAGTTTCATCAGGTAAAATATTTCTTGTTTCATATCATTTCAGTTTAAATGATTCAAATTTATTTTAGAATGATGATGCCCCTGTGAGTTTAATGGAAATGCGATTTTTTATTCCATCTAGTGAATTAGCTGGAGATGTTGATCCAATTGAAGCATTCCAACAAAGAGTTATGGACAAAGCTAGTGTTATTAATATTTCTGGAGATGCCATTGCTATATTCAGAGAAATTCATTGTCTTACACCAAGGTATTTTATAGATTTAAAAATACAAGAGAGTGATAATTTATCAGTTTTACATTTTTAGGGGTCGTTATGATATCAAGATCTTCAACTCATTTTTTCAACTTCATGGTAAAACTTTTGATTACAAGATTCCAATTACAACAGTTTTAAGGCTTTTCTTATTGCCTCATAAAGACAGTCGCCAAATGTTCTTTGTTGTAAGTTTGGATCCTCCCATTAAGCAAGGTCAAACCAGATATCACTTTTTGGTCTTTCTATTTAACCAAGAAGATGAGACCTCTGTTGAGCTGCCTTTTACAGAGTGAGTCAAGATAATTTAAAAAATCAAATGGTTGTATTATATTAACCAATATGTATTAGATAGTTTTCTAAACTGTAAGTATAAAAAAATAATAAACCTAACTTATTATTAGGGATGAACTGAAAGAGAAATATGAAGGAAAGTTACAAAAGGAAATAAATGGACCTACTTTTGAAGTTATGAGCAACGTCATGAAGCATATAATAAATAGAAAATTAACAGGACCAGGAGCTTTTATTGGGTAAGTCTGGTGTTTTTTAAATAACTATTTTTTTTGGGTTTAAAACCTATTTAAATTTTTAAATAGAAATAAGTATGTTGGGTTATTTTCATGTTATCAGAGACAACCCAGGGAGACGTGTAACTCAATTTTTTTTTTGTTTGGTAAAAGTTGTTTGGGCGATTGTAACCACAACCAGTCTATGATTGCGCCACTAGTAAATAGCTGGAAAATTAAAAATGCTTTAGGGCGGGAAATTCAAACATGGATTCAAAAATAAATAGTTTTTCTATACAAATTTACATTAAAAACAAAAACTATTGTTTCACTGTATATTAAAAAATATAAAAGCTTACAATGACATCAAATTTTTTATCATATAAATAATCATTTTATTAAAGGAAGTTTTAATCAGTTTTTATTACTCTTGTAAATTTCGCTAAAAAAACTTGAAAATTCTATTGATTATTAAATATTTAAACTTGGAAAAATAATACACCAAACTCCTTTTCTATAAATTATATTTTTGTAAGATACAGAAAAACAAACTACAATTGCTACGTATAGAAAGTACCTCGTATCATTTTGTGACAAATTATAAAGAAAGTCACAGTTGTTATATATTCATAATATATTAAAAAAAAATAATGTAATAAATATTTTATAAAGTATAGCGTCGGCTTATATGAAAAGTGCATAAATCCAAATTTTTTGATTTTGCGATTTTGGCTGAATCTGGTTCACCGCTGCTAAAGCTACAGAAATATATTCTTAGTTTACGAAAATTGTCACTAGATTTTACTAAAAACACTATATAAAGCTTGTAATAATAACGTAAAAATAAGTACAAGTGACTCAGAGTTATATTAAATCGATTATACTTCAACAAATATTGATCTGTAAACCATGTTTAAATTTTGAATGGAGTTGTGAAATTTTCATAACAATGTATTTTTTATTTAACTATAAATTTTAAATAAGCCATAAATTCGTTTTTTGTCTCTCCTGTAAAATTGTTTATTTTGGACTCATGCAATTTTCATATTAAGCCGACGATAGAGTATATCGATACCTTTTTGCCAGACTATCATAAGTGCCATTTGAACAAATGTCGCTTACGTTAGTCTGGCAAAAAGGTATCGATATGTTACGATTGTTTATTTTAATATAAACCATGGAAACGAAAACAAACACACACATACACTCACACAAATGTATAAGGCCTGATTCGAGTAAGTTCCCATCCTATAAACTGGATCGAAACCTGCTAGACCCATTCTGTACACCCCCCTGCTAACTTCTCTTAGGGTCATCAAGATCAATAGATTTATATGCCATGGCTTCTAAAAGGGAATGAAGGATGACATACTATCATCATCATAACCCTGATGATGTTAGTTTGCAAAATATCGCGATTTAAGTATAGTTCATTTCTTATTTTGATATCTTTTATTATTGCTATTACTAGACTTAAATTAATTTTATTTTTAGACATTCTGGGACGCCAGTTATAAGTTGTTCATTTAAAGCAGCAGCAGGTCTTTTATATCCGTTGGAAAGAGGTTTTATTTACATTCACAAACCACCAGTACACATTAGATTCGAAGAAATCGCATCCGTCAATTTCGCCAGAGGCGGCGGTAGTACTAGGTCTTTTGATTTTGAAGTAGAACTTAAATCCGGTACTGTCCACACTTTCAGCAGCATCGAAAAAGAAGAATATGGAAAACTTTTCGATTTTATTACTACCAAAAAACTTAATATTAAGAACAGAGGTAAAAATGTAAGTATTGTAATTTGTATCTATCCACTAGGCCCTTTAACTGCTCAATCTTTAGGATAAGACAACTTACAAGGACGATTTCGGTGATTCAGATGATGAGGCTGCTCCGGATGCTTACTTGGAACGTGTCAAGGCAGAAGGTCAGGAAAGAGATGATGACGACGATGACGATGATGAAAGTACAGATGAAGACTTTAATCCAGGCCAAGATGAGAGCGACGTTGCTGAAGAATTTGATAGTAATGTCAGTAGTTCATCTGAAGAAGATGAAGAAGGAGGAGGTATGTATATAAACTAGAAAAATTTGTATGTCAAAATAGTTCTTGATAAATTGCAAATCTGAAATTAAATAATAATTTTAGACCCCAATAAGAAAAAGGAGAAGAAGGAGAAAAAGGAGAAAAGGAAGACAAAAACAGTTTCCGAAAACCCTCGTAAAAAACGAGGAAAGAAAGAAAGAGAGGACGGTAAACCAAAAAGACCAAGTACCGCGTTCATGCTTTGGCTGAATGAAACCAGACCAAAAATTAAGGAGGAAAACAAAGGAATCTCAGTTACGGAAATAGCTAAGAAAGGTAAATAAATGTCAATACTTAATTGGCACAGTAAAATTAATACATTCAATATTTTAGGTGGTGAAATGTGGAAAGAACTTAAAGACAAATCTGAATGGGAAGAAAAAGTAAAGAAGGATAAAGAAAGATATGAGAGAGAAATGGAAGAATACCGAGCAGCAGAAGGTGGCACAACTGAAGGAGACAGTAAAAAATCCAAATCATCCTCAAAGAAAAAATCTCCAACCAAAAATCCAAAAGCTAACGAGTCTACTAAATCAAACGACGATAGTGGTAAAATTAAAAGTAAAGAATTCATTGTAGAATCTGATTCTAGTGAAGATGATGACAAGAAGGAAACAAAAGCAAAGAAAGGAAAGGACACAGATGATGAAGCTGACTCTAGTGGAGATGAAAAAAAGAAGGAAAAGAAAGGAACGAAAGAAAAGGGAAAGAAACAAAAGGAATCCGATGATGAAGCTGACTCTAGTGAAGAAGAAGAGAAGGAAAAGAAAGGAAAGAAAGACAAGGAATCAGATGATGAAGCCGACTCTAGTGAAGATGAGAAGGAAAAGAAAGGAAAGAAAGAAAAGAAGGGAAAGAAAGACAATGAATCGGATGATGATGAAGCCGACTCTAGTGAAGATGAAGAGAAGGAAAAGAAAGGAAAGACAGAAAAGAAGGGAAAGAAAGAAAACAAGGGAAAGAAACAAAAGGAATCAGATGATGAAGCCGATGAAGCCGACTCTAGTGAAGATGAAAAGAAGGAAAAGAAAGGAAAGGCAGAAAAGAAGGGAAAGAAAGAAACCAAGGGAAAGAAACAAAAGGAATCAGATGATGAAGCTGAGGATGAGGAGGACGATGAAGAGAAGAAGGAATCAGATGATGAAGCCGAAGATGATGATGACGATGAAGGGGAAAGAGGTGTTAAAAGAAAGAAAGAGAGCGATGAGAGTGATTAATGTTAACTATAAGCATGTATTTTATCATTATTTTGTCATTAGTTTTAAATACATTTAATACAATTATGATTTATAATACAAATGTGTTTTATTTACCTAAATAATTTGAGACATTCTGTAAAGTGAAAAAGTACTTCTATTTTTTGGGATAGCAAGAAACTTATGAAGTGGAAGTCGCGGGTGGCGCCAGGTAGTTATTTAGAACAAGGGTTGTCCAGGCGCCTGTTTTGCTATGCGACCCTCGAGTACACCTAGAGTGCACTCAAAGTAGCTTCAGTGGAGTAAGTGAATTCACTTACAAACGGGGCAGTACCTGAAAAAAAAAAAAACCGGTAATATCATCCACCTACTCAACCTAAACGGTGTAATCACCTTTTACCTTAAAGGTGATTCTGGAAGAGCTAGATAAAAAAGGAGTATAATTAAAATAAACCGAGGAAGTTTATACAAAATAATATATTTAAAACGAAAACCACGGTGAAGTAATACGAAACCCAAATAATTTTGGTCATTATTTACAAACAATTGGCAAAAAAATAAATCGGTGAGACGGATGCTCTTAATAAGAGGAGACGAGCTCTTTACACTGATGGAGAAGAGGGCAACGTTAGCTCGTGATCGACGATATGCAGTGAATTAAAGATTTCACTGAGTGCCGGCCTAGCGAAGGGTCTATTGACTCGGGAAACCTTGGATGTTGAGAAATTAAGTCGGCGAAATAAGACTGCGCTATCTCGACTTGATTCGCTTACGTAATTTCAGAACTCACAGAACGGTATTCCGTACAAAGTTGGGAAATTATTTATTATTTTGGCTTTTAAGAAGTTCCGTCGTTGAAACCAGATTACGATAACATTGGACTAGACTCTCTTAGGAAAGTTCAGAAATCCTAAAACGGTCCAAAATTCGGGACTAGTAAAGACTAATTTTCTTGGGCTATAAAAAATGATTTATTTTCTAAGATTTACCAAGCTACAGGAGAACAATAAAATAAATCTTAATAGAAAAGATAATAGTGACAGTTTTTTACCTTATAATTTCCACAGTTATCAAAGACTGAAAATAAAAAAAAAGACTGTATTACTTTGACGAACTACTAATAATAATTCGGAAATTCGCCAATAGAAAAATAAAGAGTTCGCGGGTATCTCAGCATTATGCTTTACGCTCGGACTAGTTTGGTTTCCGAGTGGTTCGGAGTGGGAGTAGCCAGTACTTACTAAACTAAAAAAGAATGTCCTGAGTCCTGACCACATAATTAACTTGAATTTGAACGTTTAAAGCTGGATTCGAATTTCAGTAAAGAATGATATATTTTGAACTACATGGTCTCTCGCTAATGTTCAAGAACGGAAATTTTTAAGAAATATAAATACGGGGTTCTTGAAAACGCTAACAGGCGAAATTAACTTGAACTAAACATTTTAATAATTAAACTAAAAGAACATTACACAAGTCTCGAAGACTAATTTCACTACCATGAATGGCCTTGCATCAGCTGTCGAAGGTTGTGTGGGAAAAATTGGGGACTGCAACCGAAAATGTCCCCTATGACTATATTACCAGAGTCATAAGGCCGATGATAACCTACGGGTCGGTGGTATGGTGGCCAAAGACTGCAAGCAGGAGCCATTCGACAGCTTAATGGTATTTAAAAGCAAGCATGTCTGAGTACCATTGGAGCCATAAGAACGGCTTCTACAGCAGCTATAGAAGTCATGCTAAGCCTAACACCACTATATATATTTATTTAAGGCTAAGCCAGGTCTGTCACATACAGACTGCACAAAGGTTCATCACCAATAAGCAGTTTGCATGAACGCGACTACAGCGAGCTATAAAGAGTTGAACGAAAAATTCACCAGGACAGAGACAGGTCAAAGAGTTCTTAAAAGGACCATCGCCTAAACTCACCGAGCATCTACTAAGCCTTAATATGAAAAATACTAGAGTACTAGTAGATCTATTAACAAGGCATTGTAGGCTTAACTGCAGAACACGTATTATGCTACTGCGAAGGTCTAGCAAGACTGAGATTCCTTACACTTTGAGAAGAAAAATCAAGGGCAACTAGCTATGCCAAAGAACTACTTTCTAGTCTATGGAGTCTACTACAAAAGACCTAATTAGACAAGGTACTCTAAACAACGATTAAAGGATATTAACAATAGATCTGAAAAGATGTAGCTGGGGACCCAGATAGCACAGGGTCCCTTGTTGGTCCCGGGCCTAAATAGGACTTCCGATTACCGTGAACACTTGGACGTCCTATTTTGATCCCTTTTCGACAAAGCGTTTAGTCTAGGACGTTAATGGGACGTCCCTAAGATGGACGGAAACGGGACATTAGGATATCCATTGGACGTCCGATTGATGTCCCGGTACCAAAAGAAGGCGTCCCTCCACTCCACTGATATAGACTATCTATCATCACTTCCTCGTGTTGTTTTGCTTGGAGATCTAAACTCGAAGATCATAACTCAAGCCCAAACGGCGTCCGCCTAGCTAATTTGCTTATCGATTATCCCATATTCAGAGCCTCAAACCGACTTCCGATTGCTGTATCTCATCTACCATATCCTGTTGACAGATAACTGGACTGGTTGCTGATAGATGCTTTATTGGAGAGACAATTTACTTCCGATCATCTTCCATTAATGTTACACACCTCTCTCTTTTTCCCCGCTCTACAAAGAGCTACAATATTCACCTTCCGGAATCTCACAAAAGCAGATTTGCCACTATTTCAGAGAGTTACTATTTTTGCAAATATTCCAGAGCAACGCCTGCGCGATTTCCCACAGGACATGGATACAGTGGTAACTAAAGTGCAAACCACCAAAATGGTAAAAAATATCTAAAGAAATCAAACATAAATGCTTACAAATCAAATATAAAAAGCTAACACATCAAGAATTTTAAACTGTCGTTTACTTTCAAATGCTGGGATAATTTCTTTTGATTTTATTCTTGAGCGAATAAAGCCGTCTCTTGATTTTGGACCAATTACTAAACACGATGACTCTGTAACTAATTTTACGCATCTCTCCAACCGATTGAGTATGGCAAGGGAACTTCGTAAAATCAAAATCTGGAATTTCGGTTTCGTTTGTAAGGTTCCTAAGATTATCATCAGTAAAATCCCTTAAAACAGGAGGCGGTGTCACATCGCACTCATTCCAGTAAATTAACTCAATGTAGTCTGTAGCACTGAAATTAATTTTTGGTACCACAAAGTGTCTTACTTCAATGGTTTCTTAACTGGTTTCTCTAGCTTTTAAGATATAGCTATTTTCCCGGATCCATTGAGTGTCTGTTAGCATACACAAAAGAATGTTTTCGAGATGCATAAAATACGCGTTGCTTTGGATTACCGTATCTACAATACTCTTCAAATATAGATAAATTCAGGTTCCTCGATAAGCGATATGTGTTCCTCGACAACAGTTTTCTTGTATAATCTACCGTTTTTCTTCTCTTGCAGTAAAGTTTTGTCCTTTTTTCCATCAAAATACAGACTTCTTATCTTCTGTTATCACTTTCAAACTCCTTCTTTGTGGTATTTCTAGATTTATTTCGCTCTCTTCTCAGTTTATTTTTGTCAACTATTTTCGACGGATCTTCTGTGGTAATTATTCCTACATCTTTTAATACTGCACTAGCAATCGCAGCAGCTGATCGATCAGATATACCATATTTATCGCATGCAAAACCTAACGTAGGTAAGATTGATATTTTGAGGAGCCAGAATATGACCTTGACAATAATGTAGTAGTTTGAGAGGAACAGCTGGGTCTTAATAAATTGTAAGATTCTGATTTCGAACCATCCCAGACAACACACCAAATCCCAGAGATATCCACAGAATATATTTTGTGGATATCCAATATATCCACAGGATATCAGAAATATTCCGTGGAACTAATATGGATATCCAAATGTCCGTCTATATCCAGAATATAGAAGATATCCTATGGATATTCAGCAAAATATCTAATGAGTATCTCCAGACAATACAAGAAATCCCAGATATATCCATATAATACATTTTGTGGATATCCAACCAAATGTCTGTCTATATCCCAGGATATAGAAATTCAGATAAATATTTTATAATTATTTTTAGTAGAGGTTCATAATTAACCAATGGTTATTGAATAACGTCGAAAGAAAATAGAGGTAAAAAATATTCCCAACCAGGGGGGCTTATAACATATGCGCGTTATATCAACAGGTTAGTGCGCAACACATCCGCGCATATCAGTCCGTTTTACAATAATAAAATGATATTTAAATTTAAAGTACACTGAATAATTGAATAATTCAAATATATTTCGCTTAATAACAAAAGTAATACACGGTAAGTATTGTTTTAAAATTATATATTTATATAAATACTACAATTATTTGAAAAACATGAATTAATCAATTATTTGTACAATGTAAATCTGACTTTGGGATTGTCACCCGTTCGAACCGATACAATAACAAAACTGAACAAAACAATATGGTTATGGTTGCTGAATAAAACGTGGTAAGTACTTTTACTTTTATTTAATTTTAGTTTTAGTTAAACATGTTAAATTTAAAATTAAGCAAAGATATTTTGATGTTTTAACATGTGTTTAGGAGGTCCTGTTCGTAATAAATTCATAATATCTAATTGTAATAGTGTTGTTTGTATAAAGGTAAATAGTACAATTTATTGTCCAATTTATGCTGTACATTTTAAGAACATATTTTTTTTATTTCCTTCCGATATTAAGGAACTAAATGATGCCGCATAAACTTCATCATTCCACTTGCAAAAAACCATTTATAGGTTACAAGACTGTAAATTGGCTTTACCTTTGGTACCCTTGAAAGCTAAATTAACAGTAAAGAGTAATACTAAAGTAATATTGTTATCATACCGTCGAACAAATTACCAGTGAAAAGAAAGTTACATTCGATTAAAATTTCATCCAATGAAATATAATTATTACCTAAAAAACAATAATTAGCTCTTGGATTTTTAAATCAATCCAGTGAGTGGTTAGCTCCAAGGGAGAATAAACTCTATTTTATAATTAGA